AGTTCGTCGGCATCGGCTTCGTCGGCAGTCTTCTGGAAGGCGGCCTCGATGGCGCGAGAGTCGCTGGCGCCGAAAGGTATCCATTTCTTGGGTTTGGGAAGGGCCGTGTCTGGGGCCATGGCATGTTTCGAGAGGGGTTTGCGCTTGGGCGTCTGCCAAAGTCAGTGCCGCAACGGAAGGCAGGAGCGCTGTGGAGATGACGAAAGCCCAAAGGTGTATATTGACTACTTACATCTATAGCATGAAACCACCTTACGGCCAGCGGAGGACAGTCCTTGGGGTACCGCTTGAGACTCAGCCTGTACCTCCGATCAATCACATGGTCCCCTCCCTGCTGGGGAGCCAGCACTGCCGCAGCTCTATCCTTCTCTTTCTCCTGCTCAGCCTTCTTCGCCTTGTCCGCGCTCCCCTCGGCCTTGGGAGTCGCCGGGGGCTTGGGAGTGCCGGCGCGTGAAGGCCATGGGGATAGATTGGAGAGAAAGCCCTGCTTGTTATCCGGAGCAGCCATTCTGTCGACTGGAGGGGCGTCGCCGCCAACGCGCAGCTTGCTCAGCCAGGACTTTGTGTTGTATCGTGAAGCTTGGAAGGGTGGAGCCAGCGGCCTTGGGCGGGGCGATCGGCAAAGCACGCGAAGATGGACGCGTCGAGGAAACGTGTTGGCGATGGAGACTGGCTCAGAGGGTAATGGCGGGCAGAGGCATGTTATACAGTCATCGGGCGGTGGCAGGTGTCAGAAACATGGGATTGCATGGGCTCGCTGGTGTCTTGCATGTGCTTCTGATTCCAGGGCCGCAGCATGGCCGGAGCGGCTAGTTACATCACTGGCCAACGCGCGGGGCAACCGACTGCTCTCCCACTCGCGTCGCGCGTCGACGACATCACCACACCGCCACCCCTCAACACCATGGTTGTTCGCACCATCCACGATCTGAACGCCCGACAACAGATCTTGCGGCCGACTCTGCCTAAACCCTCTACGGACACGGAGCGCTTTTCTCTCGCAGATGCTGGTCATCTGAAGCTAAAGCTACAAGCTCTCGATCGCGCCATATCGAGCATACGGCCAGATAGTCCTAGCGAAGGTGATATTACCAATATTGATGATGCCTGCAAAACAAACCCATCTGGAGGATCCGTCTACGTAGCTGGCTCGGAGAGGTTCTACCTCGTAGTAAAAGGCCTCAGCGGGCCGCGCGCCACTGCCGATGCTTATTCTGAAGCATACAAGACTGTGCTACAAGGCAGGCCCTATGCTAACAAGTACAAGCTATCCGGGTGGGAGGGGCCAACACCCACATTCTCAGAGATACGTCCTCTACTACGAGATATTGACATTGCCTGCGAAACCAACCTCGAGAGCGCCTTTGCCATACTTGAGGAGAGAGGTATGTACAGAAGGGACCACATAATCTGACTCTGCTGACATGGACTAGCCAAGCCCTTTCCCTTCCTCCGACTTCCCGCTGAGCTCCGGCTCCACACATACTCATTCCTTCTTCCTCCCGGGCCTCGCATCGTCCTTGACCCTTCACGTCAACACGTCACGCGTCCACGCCTCAACATCATGCGAACCAACAGGCAGTTACACAATGAAGTTAGGAAGCTCTTCTACGGGAGCAGAAGAATGTTCATTCAAGTGGGGCCCGGCCTTATGGACAAAGAACTCGTAATCAAATATGACCACGGCCTCAAGGGTTTACACATGGCAACTACAATAAACCCGACTGCCCTGCAGCTTCTGAAAGAGCTGGAATTCGAGTTCTGTAAACATATGTGCGGCGAGAGCTACCCCTCAGAATCATGGATGAACCCCATGGGCCGCATATACTACGCACTCAAGCTTGAGCGTATCCGTATCACCTTCATCAAGAGTGATATCTACCGTTTAAGTGCGGCAGGGTCTACGAATCCTAAAGGTCTAGAATCACAGCGGATTCAATATGAGAAATTGGAGCGCTTTGGCAGATGGTTTATAAACCAGATTCCGGCGTCTGTGAACGTATCGTGGTCACGCGAAGACGCGGCAATTTTCTTTAACAGCACTGCTGTGGAGCAGCGTTTATATCAAGCCATACAAGAAAGGGCATTGCCTGAATAGGTCATACTGTCGCGGTGCCTGGACGATTCCAGGATGTCCATGAATAGACGGCCTTCGATTCGCCAATGCACAAATGCTCATCTCTATATCATACAGCATGTTGAGCGGGATGAGTGTACTGTTGCCCACATCAAAGAGTATGAGGATTGCGATCTCTCTTATTTGATGAGGAGTACCTTTGCGTATGTGGTTAATGTATTGCGAGAGTCATGAGTGGCTCGTCTCGCACTGTATCATCGCAGTACCACTGGGTGAAGTGGATGGCAACCGAAGTATTTGCCTACATCAAGTAGTGAAGGTGAAGCAGCCTTTTCTCTTACCTGCACCGCGTTAAGTTAAAAAGGGATAGTATCGTTCTCACCTCACTTCCTACCTCTTATGAGTATACGCCACTTTATCGAACACCCTACTACTGACACCACCCGATAAGGAAAGTGGATAGCTGCGCGGCTCATGGCAATGGAAACAACCTCACCACCAGGCCACGACGAGGCTATGGGCAACACTCTTCCATATGCTGATAGTCGTCTAGGAAGACTACCTACAGAGCTTCTTCAGTCCGTTATCGATTATTCCTCGCACTTCCGTCTTCCCAGCATCGCATGCATAAGCCCTGAGCTGCGCGCGCTTGTCGAACGACAGCTATATCGCGACGTGGTCCTAGGCTGGAACTTCACGGGAGATATATGGCCATTCTACCAGACAATCCAGTCGCGGCCGGATCTGTCCAGGAAGACCGAATATCTCGTCATCAAAGTCGTTGATCGCATGATGAGTATCGAGGTTCCCACGCTTGGTGTTGTACCACAGTGCGCGATGTTCCCCTCTACCATCCGAGCAGAAATAGAGGAAACTCGCATCGCTTGCGCTCTTCTCTTCTGGCAAATGACCGAGCTCGGATTCCTTAGCTTGTCGATTGTACATGCCGACGAGGACGACGAGGGCAGGCCCAGGCTCGTTCCCAAGTGCTTGAGCAAACTCATCTCCCATTTCGATAATCGCACAGCACATCTCACGACGTTTCCTGGACTAAAAAAGCTACGAAGCCTCAGATTCGAAGGCACTGAGTTCCACTGGGTACTCGCCAAGTCCCTAAATCTGGAGGAGATTGTTCTCAGGCGTGCCAGCCACATCCTGGCCGACGGAGACTCATCTGCGATCAATACTGCTGTCAAATCTCTCACATTCCCAGTACAATCCGCCGTTCTCAATCCAGCTTGTAGCCACTACGACGCCTTGTCTCCCTTCCTCGCACACTTCCCTCGCTTGGAAACTCTGCGTATGCCTTTCAACGATGCCGACGAAGGAGTAGCCGGACCCCGTTCACACTTCAATCTCGATCGCGACGATCAGGGTAGCTATACTGTCTTATTCCAGAAGCTCATGTCAGTGGCACCCGTCTTAACAAGGCTGGAACTAGACACATCCACTCACTGCAGTGAGGAGGACACCAGCTTTCTAGACCACGTACTACCCGGAGATGGCTTCCTTATTTTCAAGGCGCTCAGGCATCTTTTGGTACCTTATCAGTGCCTGTTCGGACGAGGTGAGCCACAATGGGCGCATATCCAGCAACCGGCGGATGAGATGCTGCTCCCAACTCTTGAGACCTTGAAGGTCCATTTCCCAGAACTCGCATTCCTTGACTGGCTTACCACCTTGTCTTACTATCGGAAGCAGCTTCCTGTGGTGGAGCATATTGGTATCGCGTGTTCAAGCTGGGTTGGAGGCTCATATGTTGACTTTGCGTTTACTTCGTATCCGCACCCTGCGCTGGACGTGCTTTCCTCGATGGGTATTGAGTGGAGCATTGATATTCCACAGTGTTGCTGGAGGCAGGCATGGGACGACTATGATCTCCGGGCTTGGGATGCAGTTGCGTGGATGGATAGGACTTTTGATCCTTCGTATCGTGGTGAGCTTTGGATACGATAGTCATGGTTTGGATCGAGCTAACAATGTTCGCTCAGGCACCGTCTACAACCCCACTCCTGGTGACGACTCGGAGCTAGCCCCACCGCCAGTCGTTCTCAAAGGGCAAGCGGACAGTGAAAGTGCAGTCGAACTCAATCATGATGCTCAATACACCGCCGCCGAACTAGATATCTTGTTGGAAGCATCCACTACCCTGCTCTACGAATGGTAGAGGCGTCGGCTCAACTCGATCGATCCTGGGGTTTCACTCAAATAGCGTCAGCAGCGGCCATTGAAAGCGTGGCAAGGCTTGTTGCGGAGGCATTTGCACGTGGCTATAGGCTAACATGTCGAGGGGAGACACTGAGATATCTCAAAAGCATGAATATGGCATTTTACTATCCGAGCAGTAACAGTGTGAAGAAAACTGTGTTGAGTGTCGTGATGTGTTCCTTCATAGCGTATTCTGCGGAGGTTCCCCTCTAAGGCATGTTGTGAGGCGAAGCGACCGTGAAGTTGTTGCATTCACATTGCTTCGGTGGCGGCGTTCCAGCTGTGTTCCCTCAACGCTCGTACCCTTTTCGAACTCTTCGAGATTTACCTTTCAAAGCTCTTCTGACTCTTCCTTCTTCCCACAGAAAGTCTTGATCAACCGGATCACTACAACCACGACATTGACGCAACCCATCCATACCCACCAACGTGTTCCAGTATACCTACAACTATGGCGTCTCTACAACAAGATCCAGAGGCTCTCTCCTAGGAGCTCAAGAGCCTCGATATATCCACAGCAGCTACGACGTCTTCAAACCCAAGCCTAGAAGCTCTACCCGTCGAGCTCATGACATTAGTAACGCAAAGTACAGATGTCAAGGGCAAGGTCGTTCTTTCTGGCGACGACCTGTGCAATCTCCGTTCTACAAGCCGGCGCATAAGAGAAACATCATATGACGGCTGGACAAAACGCTGTTTTGCTACCCGAAAACATATGCTGTCCCGCGCCAGTCTCCAATGCCTTTTGAGCATCTCCACCGATCCTGTTTTGAGAAATTACGTCGAGGAAGTGGCTATCGGACCTGAGCACGTGAACGGATACATGGCTATTTGGAAGCTAAATAATTGCAATTCTAAAGAGCAGGCGGAAGACTGGCCCAAGACGTACGGGCCAAAGCACGCAAAGCTTGTTAAAGAGCAGGAAGAGTTCGATGCCAGCGACGAAGCAGTGGAGATGTTGAAGTCGGCACTGCGAGGTTTCCCGAACTTGAAGCATGTACGCATTGACTCTTACCCGAAAGACTCTTACCCGAGGAAAGACGATGATGCTGCTGCCTGGACTGAGGCTTGGGGCTCGAAGCGCGTCCTTCGCGAAATGGGCTGGGGGGCCTACGGACATTGGGCTAGCCCTCAATGGGCACTTCGCAACGAAGGAGACTCCTGCCGCGGTAAGCTACATGGCCACATCGCCAAAGTGCTCTCGGCGCTGCGAGGTATCGAAGATCGCAAAGACTGGACTCTGGAAGTCGCACTGCATACGATGGTATTGCGTTACGAGAAACAACCGTTCGATATCTCGAGCTCCGATTGGACACGTGTTCAGCACCGTGTTACACACTTGAAGTTCATCCGGACATTGGAAATCTTTGAGAAGTATTGGATCATGTTGTTGCTGCAGTCCGTCAGCGGTAATCTCAGGTCACTTACGTTGCGTAACGAGAATGTGCCCACCTTCCTTCGATACACCCAGTTCCCTACTCTCACGCACCTCGACATCCGTAGTAGTCCGATAGCATCACCTCTTTTCAAGAGGGTTCTGTTCAAGCACCGAAAAACCCTGCAGAGCCTTCACCTTTGTGGCTTGAATCTGTATGGTTGGTTTGACGACGAAGATGCATTTGAGCCCTCCGACTTTGCGGATGTCGAAGATTCTGATTCCGACGAGGATGGAGTGGTTCAAGAGGTCAATGGACGAAAGCTGAAACCGGGACTCGTCGAGCTAAAAGATGCAACCTGGTTTACGATCTTCAAGCAGTTGACGATGTCTCCTTGCCTGACAAGCGTTCGATTCGCCAGACTCTCTCAATACCAGTCCCGTTTCAACAATATACCACAACTCGGCAGGTATACCACCGACAATGTAGCTGAGCATCTCACCGGCGGCTTCTCGCTTGCAGCTGAAGGAGATGAGGTAGTAACAAGCCTGGATCGCGCTGTGAAAGAGCGCATCGCCGTTGAAATGTTAGACAGACATACAAGCGACAAAATTTGGTTCTCCGATGGGTGCTCGGAGGACTGGGATGCTTAGACTAGACCGCGGCAGGGAAATGGCGTGAGGCATGCCAAGGCGTGGGATATTCCAAGAGACCCATCTCTTGCGTGCTTGTCTGAATCGTGGTAGAAGTGGGGTAAGCCCACTTTTATGCACATATAGTTGAGATGAGGCCATTACGGCTGTCAAATGGATGCAAATTTTCCCTGGTATGTGATATCTCCATGACGGAAATTGAGGCTATTGTGCTCACAGTGTACCGGATTCTGCCTTGTGAAACCACGGCAAAGCAGCTGAGCATGTTACAGACGCAAGCATTTCGACCGATCTAGCTTGCGACTAGAACCTTCCGTAATCAAGATGGAAGGTGTGGAGTAAGCGGACCTTGGTGCTTGGTGCGCGGTTGCAGGAAGATTGTTGAGTCTCGTGACCCGCGACGGAAAGCTCGGCGCTGCAGTCAAGCCACCGGTGACAGATAAGAGCGACAAGAGGCTGGCTTGGGCCCGTCTCAGTGGGGATATCCAGGCGAAATACGCCTTGTCATGTTGGTGTTAAGCTTCGCCGTTAGCATGCGGCGTGACGACCTCAGCAGGTTCCACGGAGGACGCTCGGAAAGGTGTTGGGCGCCTGGAGCGATACGAGAGAATCGAGGCTTGGCGCAAGGGTGTCCGTGAAGGTAAGTGGCTTGAGCATCTGTAGTCGATGGCAGCGTGCTTGGAATCTGGCGCAAAATGACGTTGGTGTTGTGGCTTCGGTACGGAAGTCGGCACAATTACGCCTGCGCCGAGAAATTAGCACGGCTAGGCGGATCGTAGGCGAGCGGGATGCTTGGCTGGGACCGAACAGCTCGCCACTTCTTTTCACTCATCCCCGCTCGCAGTGCTGGTGAACGGGTGTTACCAACCCCGCTGTCGTCATGCCCGACACTACTCACAGCACTTTGGGATGGCATCTGCCGCTCAATCGTCTCAACGTTACTCGATGATGCTGTTGTGCAGTGTGGTAAAAGGCAGGCAGGGCCAGATGTGCCATCGATTATATCCAGAGGGCTGACAACCAAACGTTTGCGGACATGCATGCATCTCTTTGTTGACGAGTGCCGACCGTTACCGACGATGACGTTCCCTGCACCGGTCCCAAGATAGTCACCATCACGCCAAGCTCTCGATATCGCACGGTTCTTGGCTGCCCTCATGGTGTGTGCGCCCGCGTGCCAACTTGCTTGTTTAAAGTCTGCCATGTCCCCGGATCTAGATCTTTTGTCTGCATCCCATTCACTTCTTAGCACCAGAAATCACTCACTATGGGCAAGAAGGCACCGTCTCTCGAGGGCCACAAGTCCGGCCAGGCTAACGAGCCTCTCTCCAAACCCGCACATGCCCTCCCATGGAAGGACGTCGTTGCCGAGATCAAGTGTAACGACGAAGACGGTCTGACTACTGCGGAAGCAAAGTCGAGACATGAGAAGTACGGCAACAACGATCTGGGCGACGATGGAGGTGTATCACCAGGCAAGATTTTGCTAAGGCAGGTCGCCAACGCAATGACATTGGTATGTTACCTCAATGAACACACAATGTAACAATCCTAACAAATTCCAGATCTTGATCGCTGCAATGGCTGTGTCCTTCGCTATTCAATCGTGGATTGAGGGTGGTGTAGTAACCGCCATCATTCTGCTCAACGTTATCATCGGTTTCGTCCAAGAGTTCAATGCCGAAAAGACAATGGACTCGCTCCGATCACTCTCCTCGCCAACAGCTACCGCTGCACGAGACGGAAAGACTGTTACTGTGCCAACCATTGAGGTTGTTCCCGGTGATTTGATTGAGCTAAAGACAGGTGACACTGTCCCGGCTGACATCCGGTACGTTTAATTGCGCTAAACCAGTTTGTACGTCACTGACTCGCATCCAGTATCATCGAAGCCCTAAACTTTGAAACCGACGAGGCTCTACTTACTGGCGAATCCCTCCCAGTCAACAAAGATGGCGATGCCGTCTTCGACGAGGACACCGGCCCTGGTGACCGCCTCAACGTCGCCTACAGCTCTTCGACCGTTACCAAGGGACGCGCTCGCGGTGTCGTCTTTGCTACTGGAATGTACACTGAGATCGGTTCCATCGCCATGTCTCTTCGACAGAAGGGTTCCCGCGTCCGCGAAGTCAAGCGCAAGCCTGATGGCAAAGCCAAACCTCATCGCTACGCCCAGGCATGGTCTTTGACTGCTGCTGATGCCGTCGGCCACTTCCTTGGTGTCAACGTCGGTACTCCCCTGCAGAAGAAGCTCGCTCGTCTCGCCATCCTCCTTTTCGGTGTCGCCGTCGTCTGCGCAATCATCGTTTTGGCCGCCAACAGCTTCTCCAACAACAGCGAGGTCATCATCTACGCCGTAGCCACTGGTCTCAGTATGATTCCCGCCTCCCTTACCGTCGTCTTGACCATCACAATGGCCGCCGGCACAAAGCGCATGGTGCAACGTCACGTTATTGTTCGCAACCTGAAGTCGCTCGAGGCTCTTGGTGGTGTCACTGATATTTGCTCCGACAAGACTGGTACTCTCACACAAGGAAAGATGGTTGCAAAGAAAGCATGGATCCCTGCTAAGGGCACATACTCGGTTGGCCAGTCCGACGAGCCACACAACCCCACCGTTGGCGCTCTGATGTTCAACCCCAAACAGCCACGCCACATCGACCCTGATGTTGATGAGAAGACGGAGACATGGGAGGAGCTTCTGCAGGACAACGAGCACCTGGTCGACTACCTCAAGGTTGCTTCGCTCGCCAACTTGGCCCATGTTCACCAGACTGACGAAGGTCAATGGAACGCACGAGGTGACCCAACTGAAATCGCTATCCAAGTCTTTGCCTCTCGCTTCAAGTGGAACCGTCTCGAACACACCGGTGGTGACACACCTGCCTGGAAGCAGCTCGCTGAGTTCCCCTTCGACTCCGATGTCAAGAAGATGTCCGTTATCTTTGAGGAAACCGCCAGCTCCAAGAAATATGTATTCACCAAGGGTGCTGTCGAGCGTGTCATCTACTCCTGCACTCGCGTCTTCAACGATGAGAGCGAATCTGGTGTTGACCTTGACGACGACTACCGCGAAGAGATCTTGGCTAACATGGAATCCTTGGCTTCCATGGGTCTGCGTGTTTTGGCGCTCGCAAGCAAGGAGTACGACGGCCCATCACCTGAGAAGGGTCAGGACCTTGACCGCGAGAGCATCGAGAATGGCTTGATCTTCCGCGGTCTTGTTGGACTGTACGACCCACCCCGCCCCGAGACTGCCGGCTCCGTTCGCCAGTGCCAGAAGGCTGGTATCGAAGTCCACATGCTCACTGGTGATCACCCTGGTACCGCTCGCGCAATCGCCATTGAAGTCGGTATTGTGCCATCGAACATGAACACTCTTCCCAAGGAAACCGCAGATGCCATGGTCATGACTGCATCGCAGTTCGACAAGCTCTCCGACGACGAAATCGACGCTCTTCCCCTACTTCCTCTTGTCATTGCTCGCTGCGCCCCGAACACCAAGGTCCGCATGATCGACGCCCTTCACCGACGCAAGGCCTTCACTGGTATGACTGGTGACGGTGTGAACGACTCCCCGTCCCTCAAGCGCTCAGATGTTGGTATCGGTATGGGAACTGGATCCGATGTTGCCAAGGACGCTTCTGACATTGTTTTGACCGACGACAACTTCGCCTCTATCCTGAACGCTATCGAGGAGGGTCGCCGCATGTTCGACAATATCCAAAAGTTCATTCTTCATCTGCTAGCTCAGAACATTGCGCAAGCCTGCGTTCTGCTCATTGGTCTCGCATTCAAGGATGAGAGTGGACTCTCGGTCTTCCCAGTGTCTCCTGTCGAAGTCATGTGGATCATCATGATTACCTCCTCTCTTCCCGACATGGGTCTCGGTTTCGAGGTCGCTGCACCAGACATTCTCACTCGCCCACCTCAAAATGTAAGTTCACTCCCGTTCGATCGACTTTTTGGGCACATGCTAACAGGTTGCAGATCAAGCGTGGTGTCTTCACCATCGAGGTTATCCTGGACATGTTCGTGTACGGACTTTGGATTGCCGCTCTCTGTCTCGGCGCGTTCTCTCTCGTCATGTTTGGCTTCGGTGATGGCAACCTCGGAAACGGGTGCAACGAATCGTTCAACGACACTTGCGACACCGTCTTCCGCGCTCGTGCGACTACCTTCGCCTGCCTTACCTGGTTCTCCGTCTTCTTGGCATGGCAAATGTTGGACATGCGCCGCTCATTCTTCATGATGCAGCCCAACTCCAAGAAGTACTTCACACAATGGGCCATTGACGTCTGGCGCAACAAGTTCCTCTTCTTCTCCATCGTCTTCGCTTTCGTCACCATCTTCCCCGTCCTGTATATCCCCGTCATCAACGACACCGTCTTCAGGCACAAGGGTATCAGCTGGGAATGGGCGATCGTCTTCGTCGCTACATTCCTGTTCTTCCTCGGCATCGAGTCCTGGAAGTGGGGCAAGCGCGTGTACTTCAGGAAGCGCGATGCTAAGAATGGCGTTGCCAGGAGGGGCTCCGTCGATCTGGAGTCGCGCGTGTTTGAGCGATACCTCAGCACGGCTATCAGCACTGACGGCGAGGATGGCGAGAAGAAGTCGAGTGCATGAGCAAAGAAATGACACGAGGAAGTATGATATCTTTCGAGTAATCTCTTTGAGAGCTCTTAATGTTTAGGGCCAGGCTTGGTCCTGGATAAGGCGTTTGAAGTTGTTTGCATAGCACGCGATCGCGATACCTCTTGCCATCATGGCTGCGATGAAAAGGCTGTTATAGTCATACAGCATGTACATAGTAATCTAGATACCACAACGAACTGAACAACGAAGTTTTACCATCCACATCTACAATTTCACATTTGCCTGCATTTGAAACTGACATCCAATTAGATCTTCAAGCGTATCGTCACTGCAGCAGCACCTAACATGCACCTCGACGCGAGTCCAGCCCATCCACACCACCACATACCCAACCACCCAAACTA